GACTGCTGTGTGTGTGTGTGTGTGTGTGTGTGTGTGTGTGTGTGTGTGTGTGTGTGTGTGTGTGTGTGTGTGTGTGTGTGTGTGTGTGATTGTGTGTGTGTTTGTGTACCAGTATGTGTGCAGTGTGAGTGTTTGGCTTCATGTTTGCCATTTTGAGCCCAGTATTGCTGTGACAGTACATGCTAGGTACCTTTGACTGAAAGATAAATACACACTGCTGTGTAAAAATACTGACACTATGGGATAAAATTTTCCTTCGAAACATTACCAAATAGCAATACTAACTATGTACATCCACCAATTGGCATCTGAACTTTTTGTGTTTGAAGGCTGATGACAGTAATGCGAAGAACAAAACTGCCACGTCCTCTAAGAAAGAGGGAAAATTGGACTCGGTCCTAAAACCGGATCTGCTTCTTCGCCCTATGATCATCATTACTGACCCTGTCTCAGAGACTTGTTCTGAGGTCAATGAAAGTCCCGAGGATGGAACAAGTGAAGGAGATGATGGGAAGAATGGACTTGTGCTGCCACCTATACCCATCACTCGTAGTCACACTGATTCTAAAATTTCGTATAACCTAGAGGAACAGGTAGGGGGTAATACTGGATTAAAAGCACCATGTATTATTGCATCAGAATCGACAGTAGCCTAATTTTGTGCATTATTATTTTCAGCTTTTTGTCTGTACATTTGACAACTTTGCTGCCTTTTTTACTGAGCACTCTCTTGCATATTTTTAAAGCCAAATATCTTGTTTTTGATTATATCAGTAAGGCATATCTTTAACAGTTTTTAATAATTATTTGTTTTACTGGATTGATTTTATTTTTCTATGAAAGATTTAAGAAGTTTTTCAAAATTTTCAATTTCTCATTCAGATCCAGGAGGTGACGGGCTCAATGCATTACATCACTGAGGATGGGTGTCTGAATTACGTGGTCGTTCTGAAGGCAGTTCACTCAGTGGCTTCCACAAGTTCTGGTGCTGGAATATGTGAGAGGATTTTGAGTGTTCTAGGTACGGAATATAAGGCTTGTTAATTTGTTTTATAGAACATAGCACCCAGCAATCATCTTTTTTGCCAAGAGGTGAGTGACCCCAGCGAAAGTCAAGAACTAAATAAAGCAGAGCTCTTTTAGGTGACTCTTTTGGAATAATCATTTCACAGAAATATACTTTCAGATGTTTACACTTATTTATTTTTTTAGATTGTCTGCTAGATTTGGACATTGTGGAAAAGAAAGAGAAAAAGAGCGATGAGAACAAAGAAAAAGACGGAAGGAAGAAATCGGGATCGGAAGGAACAAATGATGACCCTAAGAAGGATGCTGTAATGACTGTGCATAATTTGATGTTGGATACTTTGTTCAAGTAGGCAAAATAATTGTCATGTTGAACATTTCATGTTTGCAAGTGTTAACATCAGAAATCATCAGTGGTATCTAAAGATATGTAAAGATTATGGTTCTTTTAAGAATTTAAAAATAATTTATTTAAAAATAAGCTTCATTTCTGCCTGTTATTTCAACATGTACATATCCCTGTTAACAGGATGAAGACATCTCTGATTTCATTATGTTCATATCTTTGATTTCAGCATGTACACTAATACAAATCTCTGTTTTCATTATGTTGTTATATAATTGTCTTTATTCTTGATGTACTAAACCTCTAATTTCACTGAGTATGTGTCTCTAATATCATAATGTGTAAACTTCTGATTGCATGATGGTACAAATGTCTTATTTAATTGTATATAAATCACTTCATTCATATGTGCATATTTTTAGTGTCCTACTGTACTTGTGTCTAATTTCAGGGTATACAAATCTCTAGGATGCCCCAATGGCTGCATGGACTCCTATCGCGGCGTACCGACGGAACGTCTTCGATACAAGGGACAGTCCATCCTGCGGCAACTCCACCATGTCAACAGCACAGCATTTAGACTGTATCTCCGAGAATCAATTAGCAAACATCCTCTCCAAGAAAATCTGGACTTTTTACATGCATTTCTAGGATTTTGTGTGGACCCCTCTGCTCATTTATATTCACCAAAAGGTAAAATTGCATTTTTTATATTGGTATCTGCTCATGCAAGTTAAACCCTTTGTGGTCTTTTAAGTTGTCCTCTTGTTAACAGGCCTTAAAGGCCTTATTTATAATAATTTGAACTCAATTAGACAAGATAAGTATGTATGCTTTTACATGCAACTGTAGTATATTGTATTAGATATATATTTGTTATGCACATGATTTCTGAACTCTGCACTGCACAACTCTTGTAAAAATCTTTCTCATCATAAGTATAATGTTTCAGTGCATCTGTGTTGATGTTAAAGGCACCAAAATATTTATATATGTATTTCACATGGTTTGTATGACTGGTTCATGTATGGTTTATGTGACAGTCTGTTAGGTGTGAGAGTTTGGTGTATAGATGTTACTGTGTATTGTAGTTGTTTGACAGGTGTGATGTTCATTGAGTGACAGTGGTGTCAGGTATGATGATCTGCTGGGTGTGACATTGTGTTAGGTGTGGCAGCATATTTTATGGGACATTGTGTTAGATGTGACAGCACATCTGCTGGGTGTGACATTGTGTTAGATATGACAGCATATTATATGAGACATTGTGTTAGATGTGACAGCACATCTGTTGGGTGTGACATTGTTTTAGGTGTGATAGCATGCTCAGTGAGATGTATAGTAGTGTCAAATATGAAATTGTGGATGGAATGACTTTGTTATAGTGTGGACAGGGTTGTGTAGGGTGTACTAGTATAATAGTGGAATTTGGATGTTATGTATAGACTGTGGCCTACTTTACAGGCAACAAGAAAATCAGCACAGTTTCACAAGATGGCACTCCTAAAAGTAGGTCAATGTTAGTCAGCTGGCAGACAGCATGACAGCATGTGTCTTCACACCTATTACAGACTGCTAAATTATGTGGATGTTAGCTCAGTAGACAGAGTGAGTCTTTATAAATTCATACAGACTCAGCCTATCAGTTTAGGTCAATGTAAGCCTCACAGACAACAATTTTCTCAAAATATTTTTTAATTTTTTCTTCAACATTTTTTTTTTTTTTTTTTTTGTCATTGATCAAAAGTCAGCTGTCAGTAAGAGTTTTTGGATGGAAAGAATGGAAATCCACTTTCTGCTAGAGAATAACCTTGGAGAATACAGTAACATGTGAGGCTTGCAGATAGCATGCATGTTGAAAATAATAAGAAGAGGTTTTCTTGCTTGGGCCTTGCTTGAAACGCATATAATGGCAGATTTTTCAAACTTCATAAAATTGAGCACTGAGTCAGTTATGCAGAATGATTTATTTTACCTTTTTTATTTTCTTCTTTTTATTATTATTTTATTTTTTATTCATTTATTATTTGGAATGGTATTTTTGTTATGTCAAGAACCATTTCAGGTACTAATTACATTTTCTATAGATAGTGCAGTTTGATTTTTGGAAGCAAAAATTTGAAAGTTACATTGGAAGTCCCCAGGATATTTTCAGCTCCTTGACAATGAGAAAAAATGTTGATGTTGCTTGTTAAACAGTGATTTTGCATTTTTGGGAAAATCGCAGCATTAAATGATTTGTAGACTTGTTGGAAAGCACGGAGGAAATCAGTTTATGTATATTTTTTTACATATGATAATTATGTAAGGCTGCACATTTTATGTTGGCTTGTGGAATTCCTTGCTTATGGACTTAATTGCCAATTAATTTTAGTGATTTTACCAGAAAAAAATTGCCTTTTAGAAAATTTAAAAATGCTTGAGAGATCATATAGTAATGGTCACCAAATGGCATATGTTACTCACCACACTTGTGCATGACTATTATAATTGTGCAAATGGAACACCAGTCATGACTGGCATGCTATTATTTCTTTGCTTTTATCTGTCTAGATACTAGTATATAACCCTGCTATTTCCTCTATATACACAATTTACCATAATTGTTGTTTTCTTTGCTTTTCTCTATCTATATACCAATATACAAAAAAGTTTTATTTTATTTAGCAGTTATAGTAGATTTCACATCTGAAAGGCACCTATCTAAGCAATATACTTATTTTGGCAGGACCCATTGCTATCACAGACATAATACTGGTGTCAAATTCATCATAATTCACAGCTGACATAACTAAGGCCACAGCCAGCATTCAGAACAGTGGACTAACTTGTACGTGGATCAAATACGGCAACCCACTAAAGAGCTTGCCGTCTAATCCGCTAGTGGACTATAATAGATTCCCCGTGGAGAAGTATTCAAGTGTGTTGGCCATATTTGACCCTCGGACTAGATAGTTCTGAATGGGGCCATAATCTTTTACTTTTTCGTTCTCCATATTTCAGCATACGAAAAGACCAGCACCAGCACCCATGACTCACCACCCAAGAGTGGGTTTGCCACCAACTTTGGCCAGAATGTCCCAGGGTCAGGGGCCAAGGGGACGGAGGGTCTGCTCATCAATCTGATCTTCAAACCCCTGGTGACACGGCTGGTGGAGTCTTCTACTGAACTGCATAGCCATGAGAACATTGTAAGTCATAGGGGCATGTTTGTTTGTTTGTGAAAAGACTTTGTCATTTTTTTTTTCATTTATAGAGCAGCCTGTTTGTCTATCTGTTTAATGATTTTCAGTTATTAATTTATTCATATTTATTCATGCACACATGCACCCCCCCCCCCACACACACACACACACACTTTTATTTGTATGTAAACTTATAAAAAATTATTTTGTTTATTTTTGTACTTTTATTTGACCACACATGGTAATAAAATATCCCTTATTTTTAACTCACTTCAGGGTTTGTACTGCGATGTTCGCCAGCTGATGCACTATATCAAAGAGGTGCATGGTGGGACATTTCGCCGAGTGGCGTTGAGTGGTCTGCTGGATTCCATGGATAGAAAGGGGAAGAAGAGACAGAAAGCGAAGGAACCCAAGAAGCAGGTTTTGAGGTAAGTTTGAAGGGAGGTGGGTAGGGGGTCACATATACATAGTCCTTACACAACATTTCATATGAAAGTGCTTTTTTTTTACTGTGTATTTAAAGCTTATGTTAATTTCTAGGGGCTGGTCTGAGTTGGGGCAGAGATAGAGTTGAGGGGGTGGGGGTGGTGAGGGGTTTGCCAGCTAACGCACTACATCAAAGAGCTGATGGTGGGATATTTTGCTTAGTGGAGCTGAGCTGACTTCTGGATTCCATGAATCATCCTATACACTTTGTGATTTTGTTGCAGACACACATCTTCCAATGCGTCAGACAGTGGTGAGGAGACGGGCAAAGTTGGGACGGGACTGACCGGGACAGAACCCCCCAGTGCAAGGAGGAGGAGGTCTTTGTTCAAGAAGAAAATCACCAAGGTAAACTGTATTCAATGTGTAATGTGTGGTAGGCCTTTATTATAGCAAAGGGTTAGACTACAAAATATAAAATAATCACATCACAAGCACTGTCTGCTGTTTTCTTATGTAGATCATGTTGCAATATTTACACTATAAATAATCAGACAACTTGTTTATGCTAACCTTTTTTAGTCATTTTTAAAGAAAACCACTGACTCAAAACTATTTAATGTTTGATTGTATCTTTTAATATTAATTTTCTAATAAAGACAGATCTCACCAACACTTATATCTAAACATTGCCTTGAAACAGACTTTCATTATTTACAATTATTTCTAGATTGCTGCCCTTGCTACTGCCACCGCCAGTGACTCTGAGGCAGTTGATGAACGTCTTGGGCGCCTGAGCCCTCGTCTTAGTCTCTCCGGGACAGAGGAGGATTCTCCCGCCGTCTCCTCCTCCAGTACTCCTAAGAGAAAATTCAGCAAGTTTCAGCTGAGTGAGTGATTAGATGTCAAAATTGTTAAGAATTTTGTTGATTTGTGTTTATATTTAGTGTTCATATTTTTGTTTTCAGTAATGTTATCTGTTATCAAGTCTACCTTTACGAGGTCAGTCCACAATAATATAACTTTGTCTTTATTATGTTATTTAGCATACATTCATTATACAGTCAGCAGTACCATGTACTTTAAACTTTTTAATGTTGATCAATAATAATTTTAAAATAAAATCAAAACACATCCTCTATTCCAAACACTGATGACTTCCGGATTTTTATTCACACAAAAAAGTTTCCATACCTGAACTCACCGACTTTGCGGAATTTATTGATCAATATAAGCAGAACCTAATTGTTGTAAAAGTTATCTTTGATATTAATTAGAAATTACTACATAAAGTTTTCTTAATGATTTTAAATTGGAAGATATAACATTGACTAGCGATGCAGTAACCCATACATGACCAAGTTGATCTTAATGACCGCCTCAATCTCATTCAGCTTTCAAGAAATCTCCCAAGTCAGAAGGTGATGAGGATTCAGCCAATGAGACGTCAGATAGCAAAGGGGATGTCAGCCCTAAGCCGCGTATGTCCTTTAAAACTACTGGTCAGGCTACGCTTATGCTTCTGGGAGCAAAACGTAAGGTGGAGGGTGGTCTTTTCGGCAGGAAAAGGACCAACAAAAAGATCAGTCTTAGTGATGGTAAGGGAAGCATGCATAAATGCTTGAGTAGAAGACTTTTGAAAGATCAGCATTGTTTGATGATATGCCTTGTACTGCACTAATATGTACAAAATTCATGTTGATGCTTTAACAGAGTTTATCAGAAAAAAATGTTATTTTAATTTAACAAGTACTCATTCACAACCATTCTGATAATTTGAGAAATTTGACAGAGATGAAATTGAAATTAGCAGAAAAATGATTGTTGAACTTTTAGTCCACAGAAAGTGGTCTTAAAACTGCAAATTTTATATTATTTGCAAGAGATGACTATAATTATTTTAAAAACAGTACTAACCCTTCATGAATGATCATGAAACTTGTTAGTCTGAGTCTCCAAAATCATGTGCTGTAAAGAATAATCCACATTGCTTAGGGGCTTAGTGTTGTAAAGCATTGCTTATACTAGTCTGTGGGGTTAAGCTGTGATGGCTTAGTGGTAGAGTGCCTGGTTGGATACAGAATTTATCTTTATGATTCATGAATATTACAGTATCCAGGGGTGAATCCAGAGATATTTTCTGACAGTCTTCCAAATTATCTTTGTTGATCCATCCCCCATTTTTTGACCGTCATCCGACAGAAAAAAATAGATACCCATCATGTAAACTTGAAAATCTGACCGTCTTTCAAAAGACAACCTCAATCCGCCCCTGGTATCTCTGCTTAAACCTGTAGCTTCTAGAGTAGTACCCATAGCTGTTTTCTTATGGCCATCAAAAGGCAGAATACTGAAGCTTGCCTTGGGATAATAGCAAAGGAAAAGGTTACCCATGCAAGCATAACCCATGCCCATTTTTAACACAGTGAAGAAGCCTGATAAGATTATAAGATATTAATTTTATGAGTCACCGTCATCAACCTTTGTGCATGACTTGCATCATTTAATCATGATTTGGTAAATTGCAGTATTTGGAGAACACCTGTAAATTATAAGTTTGATTTTGGTTAAGAAGAATTTAGTTTAGATCAGCTGATAATTTTTACAGTGTATACCAAAATTAATGATGGGTGTTGGCTATATTTAAACATGGAGCTAAGAAAACCTGCATGTACACAAACTTGCATTATTGTGCCATGTACTACTTAATACATCAGCATTTTTATCTATCTAGTTTCTTTTTATACAAATATTTCAGTAAATACCACAGCATATGCAGTTTAATTTTTTTCCTGGACCAGAACTGTAGTGCTTGCTTCATGTATTTCACTTTTCAGCTAAGCTGTCAATTTCAAGCAACTTATAAAAGTAGTTCCCTTTTTAGCCTTGATTTTCAAGTTCATATGAAATTAGTGTTATATTCTTATTAAATTTTCTTAAATTAAGATTTGTCCAGACTAAACTTCCGGCGCACCTCAGCCATGGACGTGACCCAAGTACCCTCTGCGAGCAAGGGCGAGTCACACTTAGTGCGGGAGAAGAAACTCGTCAACACGTACATCGTGAAATCAGGAATGCTGCGATTTTCATTCTTGCTGGATTGTTGCCAGCCAGGGTCCATTCCAGACCCACAGTTGATAGCTGCAGTCCTGGATTTGGTGAGAATTATTATTAATAAATAAGTGTAATTATTTAATATGCAGCTATATGATTCATAGAAAATGAAATGAGACTTTGTCGAAATTCTATTTTTTGGGAGCCAAAAATATTATTTTTTGAGATTGATGCAAGTGATCCCCTGGACCCCATGCCATGTTTTCAGACTTTTTTCAACTGTGACTGTGACTTACAGTTTAGTGTGATTTACAACATTGTGTTTTCCTCTTGGCAACTACAGCCTGTCTGCTGAGAATAAAGGTATAGTAGTAGATTGAAAAACTTGGTTTGCTTATATAGAATGCAACTGGATAACCAACCTACATAGTATTATCAAGAACTTTGACATATTATGTTCACAATTCCCAGGAAGCCCCAGTGGTAGCCAGGGCCTGTCTACTGCTAGAATGTTCCTACTTCGTTCAGAGGTGTAACAAAGGGGACTGGCCAACCTGGATGAAACTGAATCTCCAGGGCTTTCGAAATCCCGCGCCCCTGCAAGGCCGAGGGCAGCCATCTTTACACAGACGGAACACCCTGATGCAGCGTGGGGCTGGAAGGATGTTTCACGCCTGGGGGGTGGTGAGTGTCGAGAAAAATAGCTCTGTTTGCATTTCAATTCAAATAAAAAAATTAAAGCCTTGAGATAGGTCTCTGAGACATAAACATTGGTCCTTCTTTGCTAAATGGCAGAAAAATTGGAGTGGGTCCAGTAGAGAGATGTGAATCTGTTCAGTTATTGGCCACCTTTTTTTTTTTTTTTTTTTTGTGCCAGTAGATACTTGGACCTTCCAAGGATCAGTAGACTGAAAAAAAAATCTGTCACAGAATTGGATGGTAAAGAATTAAAAAATGTGGTTTAAAAATTGATCTTAAAAGTGTGTTTTCATACATTATAAAAATGAAATAATGGAAAAATGGGACTTGCACTGAAGGAGCATCAAGGGAAATACAAAGTTCATTATTTTTAACCAAACAACATACAAGTTAAGCCCAAGGGCTAATTTCTATTAAAATGAGACCTCATCTGAAGGAAATATTTTTCAACTTTTCCAATGTTTCTAGGCATTAGGCAACCGACTGGAAGCACTGATAAGTGCTGAGAATGTGGACGTGTACACCCTGATCAAAGAAATCAAAGATGAAAAAGTGAAACAAGAGCTGAGGAACAACGACCAGGAGGAGGATTTTCTAGATGAAAGTAAGGAAGAGAGATGCTCATATCTCAGAATAAAAACACAAAAGTTTAGTGAACTTCATATTCCAAATAATAATTTAATGATTTCAAGATTTACTTTTGAATTTTATATCTTTACTTTACTTTTCATTATCAAAAGTACATAAACATGTTTTTGAAATATCTTTGTCAAGTCTGGCTTACTAAGCTTGTCAAACCCAGAATATAAGATTTTAAAAAATTTATAGTTATACAACTGGATATTGCATTCATGATCTTCACAAATTTCAAATGGGGGTTATTTAATTTTATTTAGTTAAAGTTTGAATTTGAAATTAAAATTTGATAATTTCAAATTCAGCTGTAGTGAACCCCACTGGCATGGACTGTCCTTACGCACTCAAGATGCTGGCCTGTCAGGTTCTGGTCGAAATAACCACCTTCTTACGCGAGACCTACCAGTTCCTGCCACGCTCACGTCAGCACCATCGCGACACAGAGTGGGACAAAAGCATAGGGCGGCGCTGGAGTGGCAGTCATCACATGGGAAGCCCCAATCACTCCCAGAAGAGCGTGTCGTCTGTTCAACTGGCGGAGAGTCCACATGGTAGGAACTTCTAGAAACAAAATAACATATAGATTACATATAGAGCTTTAATTGGTATTTTATACTATGGTAAATGTACTCTGTCGTAACATTTTGCTGAAGTATCAGAAATATATTTTTCACTTGGGTTACTTGAACATTTTCCAACCATATCGGCTTTTAGACGGCACCGACAAGCTGATATTGTTGGGAAATGTTATATATATTTCTTAAAATTCATTTAGATGTATTTGTCAAAATAATTGGAAATTTAAGCATAAATCTTATAAACATTATATTATGTGAGGGAACATTTCCAGGTGGGAGTGACTACCTCAGTACAAGTCCATCTGATCGCAAGATCAGTTTTGCAGTTTATGCTCACGACAAGTCTGACTCAGATCGCAGCAGTGCTTCTAACCTGTCAATATCAATGGGACCCGATGATGAGAAGAGAGGTAAGGCCTTTCCCTAGTGATCAAGGTTTATTTATATTTAAAATTACTCGGTGAAAAATTTGAACAACATGAATTCTTATTTTTCTCATAAAATAATTGTTTAAAAATGGTGATTCAAAAGTTTTGAAAAGTTGGTTGGCTTCCTGTCAGAGAGTATATTGTTTTGCATGTCTTAGAAACAAATTTTGAAATTAGTTAGATATAAGAAAAAGTGAGGAGTATAAAAATGTTAAGTAAAAACATGTTATTCATTATTTTTAATGTTGGTATTAGTACATTTTGACAATGTGAAATAGAAAATATAATTCATATACTTATGTAACAAGAATACTATATAATACTTAGCAAAGCAAAGCCAAAAATGAGAATTAAACCTTACAAAAGAATTATTAAAATACTAGATTTTCTTAATTTCAGCCTTAAAAAAGTGTTAGAATTTCAATGCACGTATTGTGATTATATTCATGGCACTTTTCCCCAAATTGTTGTTTGTTTAAAATTATTTCTTGTTTCATGCACAATTTGTTTTTTCTAAATTTGTGCAAACTTGAGTAGCTAGTTACCATGATTTTATTATCTTCAGGCCGTAGAGCCTCCCAGGGTAAGAAATTGCTGCGAAAGCCTAAGAAAGGGATCGGAGCCCAGAGTTCTATCAAGAGATTCGAACACAACAGGAGTATCAAACTGAAGCCACATGAGGATGGGAGTGAGTTGTTATCATATAAGTCTATCAAAAACATTAGTATAAGACATCCAGTTGTGAGCAGAATGGACAATTTTTGAAAATGAATTTATCTTCTGATTTATTTGATTAATGAATACTTGATAGTATGGTGTAAGATGAGACTTGAAGTCCCTCCCCCCCTCTCCCTACAACACTCCCCTCCCCCTACCCCCATTCTTAACCTCTCCTGGAAAGCAGGGCAGAAAAATTTTGCACACCTTGTCATTTACTAGTATGGTAATGACAATCTTTTTAATGGGGAAAATTTGTAATTTTTATGTTGCTGTATTTTTTTAAGTTACATATTCTTAAAATTAGAACATTTATAATGAGTGGAAGCAACCAAGTTAGGAAATAGGCTACCTAAAGTTCTTTTCTATTCCGTAAAAAACACCATAAAGGTTACACAGAAATATATTTATAATCATTCAAAAATTTTTTTTAGAAAGATTGACAATTTTGCCCCATTGAAAAGACTGAGTCTTTACCATACTTCACTTAAGTTAACAAAAAAAAGTATCTAATTCACAAGTTACCTTTTCGCGTCATTGTATTTGACGTAGGTGTCAAGAGGCGTGGGAGCTCACGCAGAAGAAAAGTGAGCACTACAGAATCTACCAAGTCCACAGAGGAAGATGAATGCACTGATATCAATGTTGAGGAGTTAGAAGATGATGTTCTGGAAGAGGCAGAGCAGCAAAACTACAGCCTTGATATGCCTTGGTTAAAAGTAAGATCATTAAGACAGTGGAGGATCCTGAATTTTGTTCAAAAGGGCTTTTTTTGTGCACAGACAGAAATTCTAGACATCTAGCCATCACTACTTGTGTCTGTAGTAGTCAAGCCAAAGCTGTGATTTTTTTTTTTTTTTTTTTTTGAATTTGGACTTGGTTACTGTACTTTTGATCACTGCAGTCACTTTTCACTATTTGGGACTGTAAGTCTGCTCAGATTTCAGATATTAAACACATTCTGCCAAGGATCATGATAATTTTTTCAGTTGTATTACTTTATTGATTTAGTTTAAGGTAATGTTTGGGCTTATCCAGTTTTTCTGAAAGAGAAATATGGCCCAAGCATAAGCTCAGCTTATGAAGATGGCTGACGGCACATAAAAAAAGAAATTAAATGAACGGATAAAGATTAGAAGTGAACTTTTCAGGTTGTTATCAGGCTGGCCAACCAGTCGAACTACATCTGCGAGCACCAGGGATTCTGCCATATGTACTGCTTTGAGCGCCAACGGCGTAGCTGCATACGCCTCATGAATGCTGTACAACGTGTCTATGAGAGTGATGAGTCGGACAAGCCAACGGAGGTCAAGGAAAATGAAAAGGTGGAGGTCACTTTGCCCACTGCACGTCCAACCAAGGACATGTTTAAAGATAGATTGGCTCGACGTAGGGTAGGTGGATGAAGTGAGATAACAAGTCTTGTTATTAATATATTAACTGCACGCTTAATATCACACTGGGTCCTGTTTTACAAACAAACTTCAGCTAATAGTTCGTCTTAACTCAAAATTTGAATTTTTTTTTTTTTTTTTTTTTTTTTTTTTTTTTTGATTTAGACCAAGGATGAGTCTGTTTAATAAAACATAGTAGACTTGTGAAACGGGAGCCCAGAAAGTTGTGAGTCATTGTGAACTGCAACCTGAATAAAGTCTAGCAGTGTTACAATAATGCTTGCATTAGGAAACACATGAAATTTTTAAAATAAAATATATAAATACAATTTTTTTTTCTTTCTGCAAATTCAGCTTTCAGAGTTATCAAAAGATTTGAGCCTTTAATTTATTGTGGATTTCACAATATTTTCGATTCCTTGACAATATCATCTCTGCAGAATTTCATATTGATATTTAAATGGATTGCTGTTACTTCTTTTTTACATTGTAATTTTTAAAAAATTATAAAGTTTGCTCATCAAGAAGAGAAATCCGAAATCTACAATTACATTGGATTCATTGCTTGCTACAAGGAGACTTCACTATGTTAAAAACAACAAGTTATGTCATGATATGCCATTTAATGAGCCTATTGAAAATTTGAATTTGGAAAGTTGACTATCAAATACATTGTTTTGTTTTTTTTTTATTATTCATTTTTGATGTGGCTTATTCAGGTTGTCATTTGCATGATTAAAATAACCATTTCTAACAAATCATAGCACTGTCAAGTTTTGTATTGCTGTAACATTGTCAAAGTGCATTCATATATTGTAGTAGCATGTTTACTGTGTTGTAAGAGACAGCATGCAATACTGCAGCTTGCCACATAGTGTTGTGTGCATAACATTTTGATGAAAGTCGGAAAAAAAAAACAGGAAGCTCAGTTCTCGTATTGAAAAGAAAAAGAACTGCAGAGAAATATTGAGCAGAAAGTTGTATATAATATTTTAGAATGGAATGAGATCTTTATTAAAAAATGCACCATATTTCACCTTGTTATAATGTGAATGTTGCACATTTTGCTTTAGTCATCACTACTTAACCATTGCTACAGTAACTGTGATATACAACTTAAACCATGCTACTTGACAACTAACACATTGCCACTATATAATTAACAGAATGCTATTTCACAACTAACACAATGCCATCATGCAACTTACATGTCACATGACAACTAACACTGTCAGTGTACAAATAATCCAATCCACTGTACAGTTAACTCAGTATTGCATGAAAACTAACACAATGTCACTTGACGCTTAACACAATGTCACTTCACAATTAACACAATGTCACTTCACAACTAACACAATATCACTTGACAACTAACACAATATCACTACACAGCTAACACAATGTCACTACACAACTAACACAATATTACTTCACAACTAACACAATGTCACTTGACAACTAACACAATGTCACTACACAGCTAACACAATGTCACTTCACAACTAACACAATGCCACTTTACAGCCAACACACTGCTCCATCACACTTTGTCGTATCACTACTTATATGCCTAGTGTTTTATCACAATTGGCACCATGATTAACACATAGGCTCATCTCAACTAACACACGTGTGTTAACACAACTAACACCTTGCCACATGATAGAGGGTATTCACGACAGATTATCCTCGGATCTTCTGATCTCTAAATAAAACATGGCAGACCCTACATGAAAGTGGAGCTGACTAATCTGCTTACGGTCCTTGGGGGGGGGGTCTGGCAATTAAACCTCGGGAGCCGTGATTTAATCCATTCAGTGGTATGTGAGTAGTGGGGAGACCATCAGCTGATTAGTTAGCTCTGCTTTCATGCAGGGACCACCATACTTGATCCACGGGTCAGTAGATCCAAGGATCATCCGTTGTGAATGCCCTCATAGATGATGATGATGACGATGATGAATTTCTGACACCTTATCAACATGCCAAGTACATATAACATGCTTTCACAGTCCCAGCCAAATTGCCTTAAATGCAGTGCACTGCATCATACCCAAGTATGCTGAATATGCTGCACAATTTGCTTTCCTTTTAATTTAGAATGACGTCCAACCTCCATTATTCGATCCACAGGTAACTTGTTTGTACTGCACTTTGTGGATGCACTCACACTTGACTTATTCAGATAAGGTCTAAAGTACATTAAATGTGCTAAAGTTGTGATCAGACAGGACCTCTTAAGCCTGATGTTTATTATCAGGAAATCAAATTTAATAGAAACACAATGGTTCACATATAGTCTGTTGATGTGAGTAGGGCCTTTTGAGTCAAAAATATCCCTTATCTGAACACAACTGTAAAGGAGCCAATCTGATAAGTCTTCTCTGAATGTATCCATTTTTTACCTTCTTTTTTTTGGATAGAAGTGTTACATTAGCTTTGATGTATTAACTAACAGCATTTTTGTGTATTTTGCTCTGTTTTTCTGTTTCCTATACTTTATAGGCTTGCCAGTACTTTATGCTTTTCTCATATTTTCTGTGTGCTCTTCTTTTGAGGAGGACCCTTTAAAGTGCTCAAATTATGTTGACTGTTTAGTCATGATATAAGTCAACCTATATATTATATACTTATGGTGTGTTGGACTTATTTCCTGCTGTCGACTTAATTTTGCTTTAGAGTTGCTTTAGATTAGGTAACTATAAGTGGATCAAAGGCGGCTGGTGGTGGTCTTTTAAAATATTAGAAATGCTGTCCTTTCAATATCATTCCTTTATTTCTTGAGGTGGGAGTTGCCCTTTTCAGGTCCCATATCTGTTTCTAGAGTGAGAAATGGCCATATCCAAGAAAGGAGATGGGTGGGTGGGGTGTGAAAAGGGGAGAAACATAAGTGAAGTACCAGATGTTGAAAAAAATGGGTCTGGTTGAACTGCCATTTCTAGCTCCTCCATTGGCTTCTAGGTTGTAGTCTGGTGAAAGTTTCCATTCCTTGTGTGCACCACAACTTGGTAACAATCTTATGACAACTTTGCTCTTGTTTTATATCATCTGATTTTTGACTGTACTCCTTGCAATATTATACTCTGAATTTTATATCATTGATTAAAAGTTTTTTTTTTTTTTTTTTTTTTTTTTTTGCCACTTTTAAATCTTTTTTACTAATTTTTTATTTGTTATGATTATATTTTTTTGCATTTATTTTACGCTATTCTTTACATAAAAGGATGTCTCTAATATTTTTTAAAATGATCCATATATCCATACTAGATATATTCAACAATAAATTGTTTTTATTTTGTTTTTTCAGAAATACAATTCGAAACATTAATTTTTTTCACTATTGGACCCAGCAGTATTGTTATTTGGCAGGGTTTGTTCATTTTAGCTTCATTGTTCTTTTTTTCTTCTTTATAAATATTTTTACCTTGGAGGATGATTGAAGCACTCTAGAATCCAGCCATTACAAATGCTTTGTACCGTAAGGGGTAGCTAAGCTTAGTGATGTGTTTATTTGCTAGTCCTTATTTTTCCAGGTGTTAAAAGTATTTGCTACCATAGTATGACACCCTGGTAAACTGATATACCAATAGGATACAAAACTTAGTCCTGAATAATTTTTTACCAACAGTGAAAGTGTCATATTGATAATATCATATTATCATATTGATAATATGGAATTGCACAAGATGTGTAGTGAAAATTGTGTGCATTGTATTATACACATACCAAATTGATGTGCTTCTACTGTTCACTGCAGTTAGTGTCAAATCTTTTTTTTTTTTTTTTTTTTTTTCGGAAAAAATAAAGATGAATAATTAAGCCTTTCAGCACACCCTTTTTTCACAGCAGAGTAAATGGTACAGTTAAGGTTAAGATGGCCCCTTGTGTGTATGACAGTTTTATCTTATCTGTACATGTAACAATAGTACTGCAGATTGAATATCAAACTAACTTGCATCAGCAAACAGCAAGTTTAAAAAGAAACCCCATTGCAGCTCAAAGATTTAGATTGTGGTTAACCAGCTGATGATTGCAAGTTAGCCAAATGTACATTCTCAAGTAGTATAAGAAATTTTGAATTGCATAATTTCTTATGATTCATAATCAGATACATAATCAGTATTTTGCTTATATGGCTTCTTAGGAATCTTCCATGATGCCTACTGCAAGCGCTGCCTCGACTTTGCGCCGTCGCGACAGTACACCATTGCTGGAAAGAATCAAGGTTGATCTGGCCAAGATGAAAACTGAGTCAGTAGAAGAGAAAGAAAGAAAAGAAAAGAAACCAAAGCAAGATTCACCCATGCTGAAGTATATAAAGACACAAGTGAGTTGTTTATTTAATTTCATTCAAAAACAATGACATTGCCCCTCCACATACAAAATTTGGCAAAAAAAAGTCACACTTGAATTGTTGGACTTTTGAAGTTTTCCCATTTCATTCACAAATATCTTGAACTAATGTTGTGCACAAGATCAACTGCTTAACAATTTAAACTATGTAAAATGTCAAGTATCTTTTATGAAATGTAATAAGTTTTCACATGATACCAGGTGCACTTATTATCATTTGTTGATTTGTAATTAATATATCTGTTCTGTTTTTCTAATTATAATGTTTCGGTTCATTGCTAATGATGTTTTCTCCCCTTTACTGAATACCAATGTCACCTGTAGTGCATAATTAAGAAATTGATGGGTGTTGGTGCTGTTAAACATTATGTAATGTTATTTTGTGCATTGTCTTGTTTGTATGTCTGTACATTTGACAGCTTTTCTGCCTTTTCCTCTCAGGTCCGTAACCTGACTCAGTGTCCCCTGGCCATCATGAACAAGTCAGTCCCCATCCTAACACAGGAACACCTCATAGAGATGCTGCCTGTTGCCTGGGAACTGCTGCTGGAGAGTGACCAGGAGGTGGCAGCAGCTGCAGGTAGGCCAAGACAGGACAGTGTCAAAGGAAGTGTTTAGATTGAATGATAATCTTGATGGATTTACAATCAAATTCCTGTGACATTCAACAACAAGTCTCTCTCCCCTTAACCCTATTACAATTTCTACATCAAAAGAAAGAAGGATGATTGGAAAAATGGTAAAATGTGTTTTGGAAAGAGAACAAATGTGACGCAAAGATGTTGATGAATGGTACTACACTAGCTTTAAACCCATCTCTTGCATTTGTTATCTGGAAACATTAATTGATATAAAAATAATTCTTATCCATTTAATTCATTTCTAGCCACATTGGTCCTTGTTGCCTCTGTCAAAGTGAAACATGAGGTAGAAGCTCTAATGATGAGAGAACTGCAGCATGAAGATACCACACAAAGAATTAATGCCATTCTAAGGTACATCATTCTCTCACTGTCTCCCCAGTTCAAGTAGGTCATATTTTTTGATGGATTCTGGTGCTAAAATTTGAAATTTGTCTAGAGCCTAGAGGAACAGAGTAGTGGAAAGTCTTTTAATTTTCATCCGTAATTGCTTTCTTCCGCATAGGGTGATCAGTAGAAATACCACAACTGCATTTTTTTCCACAACACCTTATAGAAAGCATTCATTTTATTTATCCAATCCCAGGTTCCATGCTCTCTGGAGGTTCCGGTACCAAGGATGGTGCCGGCTGGAAGAAGGTGCTCATGTCAGCTTCAAGGTACCCCCTCCCAGTATAGACTTCACAGTGCCCTCTCCAACCATTGGACTGCCCAGTGCCATCATCATTGACCCTCCCTGGACACCACATTTTAAGGCCAAAGTGGAGGAAGTGACCATTAACCAAGATCAAACGGTATTGATAGAATGGATGAGCGTTTTTTTTTTATGCAAAATCTATATGAAGTTACTGCTTATGAAGTTTTATTTATTGGTTTTTTTCTTACCAATTGGCAAACAATGTTTTACATTTAAGAAAAAAGTTGTATCAGTACAGATGTATTATGTATATTCAGAGACCCTGCACATATTTTAAGATGTGTGAAGCAAGTAAAGATTTTTCAAAGATATGCAGTTTGTATTGATTTCTACCAGAGCTTTCTTCAGGTATATGAGTAAAACCATGCAAATAATTGAAGGTGATATTTCATGACTAAAGTGCCTACCTTGGTTAACTTTATTTTTATTCTTTAGCTTTAGGCTAAAACAGCCTATCAGCTTCACTAAAATACAAAAAATGGCAATTGATATTTCAGAAATCCTTTGTTACTGCAACATCAACTAGGCGCAAACAGCAACAAGAGATGATTTATAAAGCTCTTTTAGCTGAGGAGGACAGAAAAAAGGCAGCTCGCGAAAAGTTTCCTATGACAACAGTTGCTATCCAACAACAAGCAGCTTATGAACCAGCGCTGCATCATGGGAATGAGGAACATGAGGAAGGTGGGTTGCCATGGCAGTTGATGCATGATGGGTAGTGGGAAGTATCCGGTGCACCAGAAACCATGCGATTGCCAACCAGCTTTGCAGTGCAAATAAGAAATTAGATGATTTCAAATCAGAATTTCAGATATGAAGTTTGTGCTTTTGAGTAATGGAGTTTTGTTTGGCAAGAAATATACATTTTATTGCATCGTGAAACTTCATTTTTGCATCTTATAAATGCATATGAACATATTTCTAAATAAATATTTAGCAAAGAATTTTTACAAGAACTAAACGTAAGTGATTCTGATATTTGTGGAAAGCAAGGCAAATTCTTCGACTTAGTGGCATGTCTGTTAATAATTTTGTGTATTTGCAAAAATCAAGAAATGTGGCATACCACCTTGAATATGCACAATCATGCATGGTTATGTTAGTGGAAATATCCTATTGACGCAAGATGAATGACACTGTTTGGCAGATGTGGTTTTCTGGTTTCTGGTGCACCTTCAACAAGATACTCTTATTTGCTTTAGGCTAATGACTAATATAGTGGTGTAATAAGCCGTAAAAGCGAGCATTCTGGTAGGCACATACTGGGCTAACCCAAAGAGGATGAAGCTTTACAAATGTAAAAATAAAATGAAGGTATTTATTTATTTATTTATTTATATTTTTTGAACAGAGATAATGCAACGTTTGTTGAATCTTTGTGATTGTTGGAAAAGTGTAAAAAAATATATTTTTGTGGTAAGCCCAGTGTTCCAAGAATTAGTTCAGAATGGGTATTGGAAGAAATAGCCAGTAGTAAAGGAGATGCATAAATTAATTAGATTTTGGTAACTATATATATAATTATATCATTTCTGTGGCTTTTGCATTTTATTGAGTTGGGTTTTACAAAGAAGCATTTTTGTTTTATTGCAGTCAAAATTATTACCTAAAGTATTGTGGATAGGTATTCAGCATCTTTTACATTATTTCCAATGTTTTTGGCAAAAAGAAAAAAAAAGAAATTAAACATGATAATAATCCACATGAAAAAAGCCTCACGAAGCAATATAACAGAATTGCAAAGTGATTAACCCAGATATCTTAGTAAAACTCCACTTAAAAGAGCATGATAGGCTGGCTAATTAATAGCAGAGCTATTCTTCTTCAGAACATAACTGTGGTGAAGCAGCTGGCAGTTGAGAATAAATGAGCTCAAATACTGCTGAAGAATACACATTTGGCATCGGAAAACTGTGTTTTGTGGTACTTATTTTATGATGAGAATTGTGCTTATACAGGATTTTTGTTTTATTTTGTTTGTGCATATGGTTCTTTTGTTTTGTTTTGTTTTGTTTTGTTCTTTTTTTTGTACGTTCGAATTTCGTAAGAGTGTGTAAGTGAGCTTACAACACGTTTGTGTTTAAGTATGTATCAGCACGTGTGTGCGTGTGTGTGTACAGGTACCAGTATGTGTACAGGTGTGTGTGCAAATATCTATCAAGGATGTGCAGTTTTTACGTGTTAAATTTATAACTATAAAGCTCAGTATTCATTTCAGCCGAATGCATAATAATCATAAGAATGTGTGTTTTTTGTGTGTATGAATATGCATATATTTAAGTTTTGGTTTATATGTAATGTCCGAATTACTCCTGTTTAAGTAAAGTTAAATTATTGAAGTATATTATATCAGTATTAAGCCCAGTTTCTTCACCACAGTTTAATTAGTGGGTTATGATAATGTCATGGTATTTTTATTATTATGCATAAATGCCTAGTTAGAAGAGGATCTGATAGATATTTCTAAGTGGAAATAAATTAAATTTCTATGATGATGTTCTACACCGTTGCTCCTAACCTGTCCCATTACTAAATGTGAATGTCATATTAATTTCCCCTGACCAAACCTACCTAACCTTACCTTGAACCATGAAACTGACCTTGTGACCTTGATTGACCCTGTGACCTTGACCAAGTGCCCTCAATGTGGTCTTGTCTGCTTTGGGTAAGAAAATTTCCCAGAATAAAATCAGATATGTTGTTCGTAAAATGAACATGACCTTGACCTATAATGACCTCCCAGAAGCAGTGACCTTGACACCTTTGCACTTAGAAATATTCCCGCATGGCAAATTGAATTTTACCGTCATTTCCCCATTCAGCAATGATGCAAGAAGAAATCAACATGGCTGCAAGGCGTATGTCTGTAGCACCCATGGCCATGACCCGCAATCTTCAAGTGCGTACGGCCGTGCCGTCGTACGCACGTGGCAGCAGTGCATTATGGACCAAAAGTCCTTTAACCTCTGCAGTTGTCACAACAGGTACGCATGGCTGATAGCATGGGGAATATTTGGTAGTGCTTGCTGATGGTGCATGCTGCTTGCTTCAGCTTGCTTGCATTTTTTTGTTTTCATGAAAGAATTGAAACATCTTCATGAATCTGGGCATGTCGTTTGGTTGTGGAAAAATTTTTGCATCATTAGAGATATCTTTTTTTTTTTTTTTTTTTTTTTTTTTTCAAAATATTTAATTGTCCTCTCTTTGTATTATGGTGTATGGTGAAATACAATAATGATGTGCTGGTAAACAAAACTCATACATCCTTTTTTCTTTGAAAGAATACAGCTATGCTATGAAGAAGCACCGAGTCAGTTAATACATGTATTGACAAGGAAGATGCTTTAGAAATTCCATGTCTCATTTGCTTCTTTAAATTAGAAAGCTCAGAAATCACTACACTTGATTTCTGGGTATACGTATATGTCATCTGTTGTTTGAAGAAAGGTTATGCACACACTCTTGCATGGTTTATCTTTATGTTTGATATGATATTTGAGAAGGATTTGGGACTGATTGCAAAGTAAGCATAGGCCCCATTTCACAAAGCTTAATTTAGGCGGAAGTCGGTTTAAACTTCAAAGCTGAAAAATTTAGTCAGCTTTGAATTGGGATAAATCTGTAGTCTTCTCTGTAGTATGCAATATAATATATAGAAAAAAATCTGTCTAAAATGTTAGTGTCTTAAAAGTAAATATGAAATAGATCTTATATATTTGTTTTAGCTGACTACCGATGATTTATCCTGTTTCAAAGAGAACTCATTTAGACCCACTTTTAACACATTTTGTGAAATAGAGCCATTATGGAATCTGGTTTTAGATTTTTAGAATTCTTGTTGCTATGTTACATTTAGTGGCAGAGCAGTGGGTTTGGAACTAGGTTGATCATCAGGTGAATTTACAAAATTTTAATATTAAAAATTTGAAGTACAGTTCCAGACCTTTCAGTGCATATTTCATATGCAGGGTTGAAATAAGGCAGTCTTTTAAAGTTTCCAGAATTTAATCGGAATTTTTTGTATTAAACACATAATATTTGAAAAGAAATTAGCGAGAAACTGGTATATATTATTTTCTGAATATCACCACCACACTGGTTTTCCTTTAGTCAGATAATTAATAGAAAACTTAGTAAATAACAATTCTTTCTGAAAGCTGGCAAAACTACCAAATCAAAAGTATTCAAAGATTGGTATAAATCAGACATGAAGTCATGGTACCCAACAATTTGTAGATTATATAGTCAAGGTAATGGCCTGATTTATTAGAACAGACTATAGAAGGCATGAAATCACGTTCGCCATCGCAGTTTTGGTTCCTATTTTATCAAAATAATGAAAAGTCGAAAAAAGTGACATTGCAGTATTTAGAAATTAGAAATAGAATTTCTGATGTTTAATGTGTGTTAGGTGTGCATTTTAGGTGGAAATTTTGTTTTAGAATTATAGATGGAAAGATTTGTGTTTAGTGAGGTATGGTAGTCTACAAGCTGTATGAAGCACTTAAAAAATGTGTTCTTGGTATAGAGTTTAAGGATTGATGTAGATAGCGATAGTCATTTCTGCTCATAGATGTCAAGTAGTGAATAAAACAGCATGGCCAGCAGCTGAATTAGATTTGAATTTGGAGTGAATAGAAGAAGGCTCTAACTGTCACGAATACATTTAGATTGTTCACAGTTTAATAGTTGTTATTTCTAGAATTCTGAATGCAAATAGGTTTTCTTTTTATGCAACATAGTTTGATTTATCGTGCAAGCACAAGATGGAAAAAAGCATTGCTTATAAAGAATAAGATGTTTTAAGTTCACATGCTGTGGTGTGAATTTTTTTAGTTAGATATTTTGAATTAACTAGCAATATTTAGGCTTGCTGCACAATATTATATTTAGAAATTTAAAGGTAGTAATCAGAAAAGCTAGGTATGATAGAATACACACTTTAGAAGTTTCCTTATCAACTTTTTAGAGAACAAAATGTTTACAAATGTATTTTCAATTTGATATGTTCATGTTTATGTTTTATGTGTACACGCATTTCTCTTTAAGTTCAGGTGAAGATTTTCTTTGCTTTAAGTGTGGGTTATCTTTCAGGTGGTGTGGATATTGATTCTTCTGGTTTCTATGTTATTTGTATACTGTATCTGTGTTTTTGTGTATGTGTATGTGTATGTTATTTGATTATCATATATGATGCCAATTTTTTTTCTTTTTTTGGAAATTTTGATCAAGTTAACAGAGAAGTGTAAGGAATTCCTTGTTAACAGTGTTAACTGTGATATAATGTGTCAAGTGTTTATTGTTCTTTCAGTATTTTTTTCTGTTTAGGATGTTTTGTCTCTTAATTTTACTATTAATTTTAAAAAATTTACATGAATTTTTTTTTTACAGGATCTAATTTTATAACTTGACACCACTGTATCGTCACTTCTGAATATAGAGCATGTCTTGTTTCTCACTGCCGCATATTACACATTTTTGCTGTTTATGATGGTATACTGATATGCTTTTCATGTTATTATTTCTCATAAGCAGACTTTATAACACACACCACCTAAAAATTGATATTTTTCCTTGTCACACAAGACCAATTGTCTAGAAGATCTAGGCCATTGCTAAATATAAGGGTGTTGTCTTTTTTTTTTTTTAATAAGAGGTCTTGAATTTGTAAGCTGCTAAAATAACATAAATGTTTAATTCATCAGAATTTTTTTTAATTTATTTTAGAACAGTCTTTGTACTCATTAATTTTTTATCTTTCTATTTTTCCTAGATCTCATAAGTATTATGAGGGTTTTTTGTATTTGTGCTTCAATGAACATGGATAACTAATCTCAGAATGATTGTGACATACTCCTTCTAAGATGTTTCAAATTATTAATTTTTTGTCATATTTATTGGTATTATCATTTTTATTCTATTTTAAAGGTAAAAGAGGAAATTTCGATGCGAAATCTCTTATTGGATATATTTGATTTGTGATATTGATGCTTTTCTTTCTCCCAAGCATCAATTACAAAATATCGATACATCTAAATCATAATTATATTTTATGTTCACATTTTCAGATCATTAAGTAAGGTTGGTTGAACTAGCTGACCAATATTTTTTCCAGTCATATCTCTTTATGCACATTTTTGATATTATTTTCTTTTTTAAAATATATATTTGCATTTTAACATGATTTGCTACATTTGATAAATGTCTTTTAATATTGCCTTCTTCATTAAAAAAATGTTCTTTTCTCACATACAGAAGCAATGAAATGGTGAGTAATTAACACAGAACAGTTCCTGCATATTCGTAATAAAAATTGACTTCCAACACATATTCCATACTATACTCTTTTTTATGTTTTGTATCCAGTATGCTTATTCTATATTTTCATGATCTTCTTCCTCCCCTTACTTCAGGAGAAGAAGAACGCGTGGAAGTGCTGCACTCTCATCAAGTCCAGATGGCGCAACCTGTCTTCCCGTCTGTTATCTGCACGGCATCAGTGCCCATTATACATCTACTGGAAGATGTGGAGGTCAGCACAGAGGGAATATCAGGTAGACAAATAATTTTTTCCAGTAGTTGATTTTTTTGTCAGATTTCTTATATTGCTTTTATTTTATTTCGTCTGACGTCATTTTTAAGGTTTTTGATTGCCTTTATAATGTTGGACAGATTGAAAGAACCATAAATTGACCAAAAAGTGTAGCTGTATAATTTGCTATTGAGACTCCATTGAATATATTTTAATTTTTATTGTAATGCCTGTATATGTGTGAGACTTGCTGTGTAGTTTTGTGTACAGTACTGTATGATCTAAAGTATTACACTTTTTCTGTTTTTTTTTTTTTTTTATTATTGTCCATATTGGCTTAAGAATGGTAGTGCTGAGAACCAATAAATGTTAACTTCTCCCAGACCCAATAGTTTGGTATTTCATTAAAATATTTGATAAATCTATTGTATTACAGTTTGCAAGTCCTTGCTCTATGAGCAATTTATTATTATTATTATTATTATTATTATTATTATTATTATTATTATTATTATTATTATATTCCCCAGTGTGTGAGGTGGCAGAGAAGGTGATTTGGTTATGTCTGGTGGAGGACCCTGCCCTGTTCCTCAGACATTTCCTGGAGAAGATGACCAACAAGGACAAGCAGGAAGAGCTGATCTTTGTGCTGAGAAAGCTGCTGCTCATGCTGCCCAGCTTACCCTCCCAGACGGGCCATATCCTCTTCAATTACCTAGTAAGATATGGTGGCCAAATTTAAATCTTTTGGAACAAAACTTTTGGAACAGATTTTTTATGTATAAACTGAGATGTTTTTTAACATGACATATGTTGAATGTTCACATTACTCAAAGAAATTTCCTGGTCCTGAAGTATCCAAGTTAATACTGAATGTAACTGTACAAAGCACATGTTGGTTTCATAGTTCAGAAACACAGTTGCATATAATCCATTGTAGAATGCTTCTTTATCTTCTTCTACTCCAGGTTGGGTATATCATGTTCAATGTGAGAGCTCCAAGTGAAGGAACAGTGGAGTCCACATCCCGAGTGTTGTCTATATTGTGGATGGTATGTGCCACTCTGATTTAATATTCCAGAACTTGTGTTTATAATATGGTCAGTTTTGTTTCTGAGTCAGTTTTGTAAGAAATTATCATGACAGTTATAATGATTTTAAGCAAAATTACTGTTTTTTTGCCCATTTTTATTGTAATTAACATTTTAATGATTATTTCTAGGTGATCCCCTACGTTGATGGTATCTTTTTCAAAGATTTGAAGCAAACTTTAAAGAAGGAACAGTGTGAGGTAGGTTCACTTCTTTTTATCTTAACCATTTTCAGGGTTATCACAGTATATCACTGTAACAGTTATAATGCAGGAAATCCATTAACCTCAGTGGATACAATTTTTCTGAGGTTTAAAAAATCAACATATTGACCTCAACCGAAGATGGTAATTTTGTAATAAACAGAACCATAATTTAATGCCCATGCAAGGAATTTGATTTACCTGTTGTTGGACTTCTTCTTCAGCCTCAGTTAATGGTAACAGCCAATGTCCCCAGTGCCAAAAAGATCTTAATCCATGGCCCAACATATTGACATCAACCAAAGATGGTAATTTTGTAATAAACAGAACCATAGTTTAATGCCCATGCAAGGAATTTGATTTACCTGTTGTTGGGCTTCTATTTCAGCCTCAGTTGATGGTAACAGCCAATGTCCCCAGTGCCAAAAAGATCTTAATCCATGGCCCAGACCTGACCAGTATTCCTTCACAGCTACCTGTACACGAGGTTTGTAGGGTTTTTATTATAATGTGTGGCAGAGATCGAGGCAGGTCTCTTTGTAAGCAAGTGGAGGAAGTGTCATTGTCATCATCATCATCATCATCATCATGATAATAATTGTTATAATGATAGCAGAATTAATAAGAAAATAGATGAAATTAAAATGTATTTGAATTAATTTTCAAAAAAAGCGTGTCCAAAATGATAAATATTATTACTGTAAAATACTGTAGAAAGGTTTGATTTAGTAAAGAATATTTGCTTTTAGAAGTAAAAGATAAGAATCCTGTTGATACCCAAATAAATGTTTTGAATTGTAACTAAATTTTAAATCTGTATCTTTGCTGTTTTGTGCATGTTTCTTGGTTTACAGAATATAACACTTTTTCACAGTATAATTTGTAGTTTTTATACTTAAAAAATTTGTTGTTTAGGACACCCAGTTTTGTACTTTGTTGCAAGACAGTTTGGACTTCTTTAACATCCCAGAAGAGCAGCATGCAGAGTACTTCTTGGTGGATGTGAGAACCAGTAAGTTTTTTTTCCTCAACAAACACATTTAACCCATCTTACATTGCCCAATGTGTATTCTAAGTGTTGCACAGTGTCTTTTTTTCTATATAAAGAATAAAATGTGGGCTTGTGTTTTGCTGACAAATAATATACCCTCTACCAGGGTGAAAAAATTTATTTTTCACAAGATATTCACAGAAATGTCTTTAGATATATAGACAGTCATTTCATTCTCTGGCTTTTTCAAATTTTCCCTATAAAAGACTATAATATCTGCCACCCTGGTAGAGGGTACAAATAATATGTTGAACTTGTGAAATGTTTGTCCATTGCTTGTTTTTCAGACCAGATCCACAACGGGAACTCTTACGTTAGAGATTTCTACTTCTTCAAGAGAAACCAGTACCCACAGCTCTCCATGGTGCACATGAACCCTAATGATGCATATGGGAAGCTACAAATGCAGGTAAGAATGAGAAATGCATTGTGTTGTCACAACTAACGCAATAAGCACACCTCTACTATTTAGAGCGTATTAGGTGAGACTCGATGGCTGTGCCATTGTCTTGTCAAAACTGTTGCAATGTCCTTAATATTCATGTTTAGAACAAACGAATTTGGGTATTGTGTGTGTTGGATTTGAAAGTTTACGTCGACACACATGAAATCCAATGAAGCAGATAGAATAATAGAAATGTGAGTGAAAGACAGAAAATGCATTGCACAATCAGAACTTGCAAGATTATTAATACATTATTAAATTTTGGCCAGAAGAGTACAGTACCATTCAATGAATACAAATACCCATGCCATATTTGTTCCTCGGTGTTAACTGTCAAATTGAATGTCTGCCATTACCTTTTTATTCTTATAGATTATTGCTCTTATTGTCTTTATGTAGCCTGTTTTATGTTGTACTGTAAGAGTAATATGATATGCAATTCGTTTTGTCTCACATTAAGTTACTTCTTCTCTTTTATCACCCTACTTGTTTATTATTTTGTATAATATTGTAGTATTTCACAGTATTTAAACATGATAGTATAGGTGCATACAGTACAAATCTTTTCTTGCATCTGAAAATGTAGTTTTTTTTTTTTTTTATTTTTTATTTTTTTTTT